TCAGAGTTTTATGTACCTGAATGCACCATAGAGACATCGGTACCTGAATGCACCATAGAGACATCGGTACCTGAATGCAGCATAGATCCTTCCTGTGGAACTAAATTTAAATCTTTCACTGAAGGACAGACGGGGAAATATTATTTTCTTCACCTGTAAAAACTGAGTCAGAACACAGAAAGTAAAGAGAAGAAAAGAAGCAAACATTTCACTGAATGTCATATTTTTCTGACCTCCTGCAGCCTCAGACTTCCAGCGAGTCCTCCAACCAGAGCAGGGCGCTGACGCACCTCACCTTCAGCCGGACGCTGGACGCCAACGGCAGCACGCCAGGTCAGAACCGTCACTCCAGAGTCTCTGGATGCTGGAACATAATCTGTATCGAACCATCCTTAGAATTGTTCACTCTTAAACTGAATGCAGACGTTCAATAAAACATTTCATCATTTGGTCTCTAAAGGTTCGGCACGAACCCCGCCCTCTTACGTCCCTGAGCCAATGACAAACGGTCTGGCTGGACCTCCGACTCCCACATCGTCAGACGTGTCGCAGCTCCCCCCTCAGTCTGCAGACAGGACTCCAACTAGTCACAGCGATTCTGATGGCGGTCAATCCAATGCTGGGACCCGGAGGTCAGTGGTCAAACTCAGGACTTCACAGCTGATATGAAAATGCCTGCAAACACTAAAAACGTGCAGAAGAAAAATGCTGTGAGTGAGGAAAACTGGTAGTGATGTCATGAGATGAGCCGAGGCTTCGAGGTGTGTGTTGAGTAAGGGGGGGGGGGGATTCCCTGAAGCACGTGTCAAGGCGTGATTCATTTAGGGGAGGGGCCAAAATCGATGACATCCAAAGCCTCGCTACCGTGATACCATGTGACCGCTTCAGGAAGTGGTTCAGAAAGCGTGAGAACTTCTGCAGGCATTTTTAAAGCCTCATTCTTCAGTCAAGATGTGGGAGTTTGTAGAAATGGCAGTTGGATAAAGTTTGGACAGATTCTAAGAATAGATTGGTTGAAAAAACGACCAATTTAGTTGATAAAACTATTTTGGTCGGATTAAACAATGATTAAAATCTGCTCAGATCTGAAGTCACCGGTCAAAGTTGTAACATTAGTGTTAAATAGTATTGCTTTCGAAAACAATTGTCACCGTTGCCAGACACTGATTTCCATCCTGAGGTTTTAGGCTCGAGACCCACGTTAAGCCGGGCGTACACTGAGCGATTTTTGGGGCGATTTTCCAGTCTGGCGAGACCTTTTGATCGGGCCGACTTTCAGCCTGATCGTCAGCTGTGTGCTGTACAGGGGGAGTGTTATGGTTAGTGTTACCACTAGGAGTCACTGCCCTGTTAGCATTGTTAGGTGGCAGCTAGAAAAACAATAGAAGAAGAACGTGTACGGCTAGGATAGCAGAGCATAAGGTTGAAGTGCTAAATAAATGTACATTAAGAGAGCAGATAGATCGCATCAGAGCGTCGGGCCGAACATGAATCGTGAGCTGTGAGCTCACACTGTACGACTAATCCCTGCGGTATAGTCGTACAGTGTGAGCAGTAGCTGCGTCTAACGACTGAAAAGATCGCACAGTGTACGAGACATTTGAAAACCGACTGAAAAAGACTGAAAAACTGGGATATTAATTAAGTATTTTGGCCAATGTGACTAATTTGTATTGGTTCGCCGTAGTACAAATATAGATTGGGTAAAAACACTGGCAAAGTTAAATTGGTTGGTTTAGCCAAAAAATTGGTTGAACATATAACTTTCAAAGTGATTAAAACCAAAAACCGTGGCACTTTCACTGTCTGTTTGAGCTTATTTCACTAAAATGGCAGAAAAACTTAATAACAATTTCAAAAAGACAAACCATTGCAAAAAATCACAGATTATATTACTAGCTGTAGTTCTGCGCTCCACCAGTAGGCGGTGACATGTTCACATGAAGCTTCATGAACTGTGGGGAATTTGGCCAAACAGTTCAACATGAGGCTTCATCTCACCATCACTACAAACTGGCACCACTTAAGAGCTCCAGACCACTAGGTGGAGATAATCGTTAATTCATGTGTGACCAGAGTATTAAAGTGAATATGATCCGTGGAACTGATCTGTACCAAAAACATGAACATGTACGTTTTCCTTTAAATCTCTTTTAAAACCCTCTGCCTCCTGTTTATGCCTTCATCAACGGTCTGGTTTCATATCAGAGATTAGAGGCAATTCAAGCAGATCACCCTGTCAGATTAAAGGATTTTCTTTCTAAGGGAAACCAGCTGATTGCATCAACTCATTAACTCTTAAGCAATCTCTCACACAAAGCATGCAGCGACAGTGGAGAGGAAAAC